CACAGAACCGGAAGCAGGCTCCTCACTGTCAGCGCAGAGCCCCACGAGGGGCTTGAACCCATGAACCACGAGATCATGACCTGAACTGAAATCAAGAGTCAGATGCTTAACCGACTGAGCCACCCAGGTGCCCCCCGCTCATCATTTTCTAAAAAGTTTATGCTCCACTGGGAACTGACTCTTGGTATGTACGAGATGGTCCACTCTCTCCCTCTTTGGTACAGACAGGCTCTTTCCTACAAGCTGAGCTCTAAGTTTACTATGAGTCATTTGTCTTTCTTCACACCTGTTGATGCCAGAAATACTTGTTAATTTAATAACATAATTTAATATGTCAGTGAAATTAGTACAAAAAGAATTTTTCTGAAAAGATGTTCCTAAGTTTGGAAGACTTGATAAAGACAAGTTACTTTTAAAAATATGGCAATAGGGGCGCCTGGGTGGCTCAGTCGGTTGAGCGTCCGACTTTGGCTCAGGTCATGATCTCACATCTCGTAGGTTCGAGCCCCACGTCGGGCTCTGTGCTGACAGCTCAGAGCCTGGAGCCTGCTTCGGATTCTGTGTCTCCCTCTCTCTCTGCCCCTCTCCTGCTTGCACTCTCTCTCAAAAATAAATAAACATAAAAAAAATTTTTTTAAATGTGGCAATAAATTTGACAGATTAGACAATTATAATTAATCAAGAAATCACAAAACTCTAGAATGTTTTCTTTTATATTTTTGTGAAAACTGATGTTTTTGTAGTTGGTGGGACGAATATGAAAACACTGTATGAAATTTTTCTTTAAGTTCTTGTAGTATTTTAAAAAAACAATTTGAAATGGTAGCTACTGTATTCTAAGTGTAGTTTATGTAAGAAAAATAATGTAGAATCTGATCAATGGGCTGAAGCTAAATTTAAAAAAAAGGTACTGTTGATTCTGTATCAGAAGTTTGGTGAATGAATATATATTTATGTTTTAAGTTAAAATGTTAGAAACAAACAGGCTGGCAAATATTTTTTTTTAATGTTTATTTATTTTTGAGAGGGAGAGAGAGAGAGACAGTAAGCACACATGAGCAAGGGAGGGGCAGAGAGAGAGAGGGAGACACAGAATCCAAAGCAGGCTCCAGGCTCTGAGCTGTCAGCACAGAGCCCATCGTGGGGCTTGAACTCACGAACTGTGGGATCATCACCTGAGCTGAAGTCAGACGCTCATCCAACAGAGCCACCCAGGCGCTCCAGATAAATATTGGCTATAATCAGGAAAACTATGAAAAGCATACCGGAAAATTCTCTTTCTCTAGTATGAAATCATGCCGCACCCAATGGGATAGAACTTTACATAACTCAATAGCATGAACTGACAAGACGCAGAAGGACTATGGGGGTGTCTAAGATGATAGAACCATTTTTGTACAAAGATAATCTAGAAAAAGGATAGCTGAGAAGTAATGGGATTCTTATACTCACCATTTTTTTTCAACTGCTGGATTATGAGGCCAGGAGTAGCAAAGAAATGATTACTGGTCACCGGTTCTGATTCTATGGCCTCCTCACTGGCGTGATTCATAGGGAAATTATAAGGTATTAAAAAAAAAAAAAAAAAAAAAAAAAAAAAAAAAAGTTAATATTGAACCTCTGGGAAAAAATTCAGTCTTGCTATATACGGTCCAGTGTAGACAAACATTCAGTTCCATTCTGTGTAACACAAGTCCCATTGAACTGTGTTTTTGTTTTTTTTTTTAATTAATGTACACACATGGCTCAAAAAAGGTTACGAACCATTTGGTATTGACAGCCTTGACTGCGAAGCAGGCTAAGCACCCCTGACTTAAGGGAAAGCTGTAAGTTTAACTCATCAGTTCAAATACAGGAGCTACATAGTTCATGGTTTCAAAACCATAAAGTGGAATTTTGCAACCAGTTTACAGATATAAATTAAGAACTTGTCATTTTTTTAGACTAAAAAAGACTGATCCCTGTCATCTAAGGATGTTCTAGCCATTTACTCAGATGTCTGGAATTAAAGAGGAGTATCATCAAATAAGTATAAGATGGTTCAACTAGCCAATTGTCCTGGCATAATTTACTGAATAATTTTTACTTCTGTAATATATATATTTATATGTATCTGTATATTATATATTTTACTATTCGGTCATATTCCCTCATTACTATTATTTTTTATTACTATTTCACTACTCTTTTTTTTAAGATTTTATGTTTTTAAGGAATCTTTACACCCAACATAAGGGCTCGAACTCATGACCTCAAGATCAAGGGTTGCATGCTCTTCCGACTGAACCAGCCAGGCACCCCCTTTTTAGCTACTTTTACTTATTATTCTTCCAAGTAAATTTTAGAGTCATTTTATCATTTACTTTAAAAAATCCTATCGAGGCTTTGTTGTAAATGCACAACATCTATAAATTAATTTGTCATGATTAAGCATCTTAACAACATTCAGCCAGTCTATCAGGATGAAGAAAAAACATTATATTCCCCACTTTTTCCCTTACTTAACCCAGAAATATTTATGGTTTTTATCATGTAGATCTTTTTACCCACGACTGGCATCAGTATTTCACTTTTTTGTCGCAAATTTGAATGGATTTTTTTCTACTCCGTTTAGGAACTAGTTATTAATAAAATATAGGAAAACATTATTTTAAATGGTTAACTTACCACTATATAAAATATATCTTCTATGAGCCTCTTTCTTGAAGTTTGAGATGTGAATTTTTTGAGTTGCCCATGTACAAAATATGGCCTAGAAATACTTGTTACTGGCCAGAGTTATCAAGAATGATGTTAAATAATGGTGACAGATAGCTTCACTATTATTAGATACTTATAATTTATCATGTTAATGAAGTACTCTATTTGGAGTTTGACCAAACGTTTTAAAGGAACGGGTATCAAATTTTACCAAATCCTTAAGGCACCCAGGTGGCTCAGTCAGTTAGGCGTCTGACTCTTGATCTCGGTTCATGATCTCACAATGAGTGAGATTGAGCCCTCTGACAGCACAGAGCCTGTTTGGGATTCTCTCTCTCCTTCTCTCTTTGCCCTTCCCCCATCTGCACTCTCTCTCTCTCAAAATAAGTAAACTTAAAAAAAAAATTTTTATCAAATTCCTTATTGGCATCTATTAAGATTATCCTTTTTTCCCTTATTAAATCCAATCATTAAAATGTATGTTATGGGCTTCAAGTATTAAACTATCTTTGCATTCCTGAGATAAGCTTAACTTGTAAGTTATCTACTATGCTTGTAATATTCTGTGAATTCAACCTGTGAATAGTTTAATTGGGACTTTACATTATTATTCATCAAGTGGACTGGTTATAGTTTTCTCTTGCATGCTCTGTCAATGTGTGTATCAAGGGTATGTCAACCTCATAAACTAACCTCAGTGTTTTCTGTCTTAGATGTTTTAGAAAAACAACTTTTTAAAGTAGGTTTCATGTCTGCCACGGAGCCCAGCGTGGGGCCTTAGTATGGGGCAGAACTCACGACGCTGAGATCAAGACCTGGACTGAGATCAAGAGTTGCACACTTCACCAAGTGAGCCACCTAGGTGCCCCCAAAAAGAACTTTTTTAGGCTGTGCTCCAATAAAACCTTATGTACAAAAAAATAGGGAGCAGGCTGGATTTGGCCTGTGGCAGCAGTCTGCAGACCCCTGATAGTGACAGTTCTTTTTATTTATTTTTTATTTTTTTATTAAAAAAAATTTTTTTAACGTTTATTTATTTTTGAGACGGAGAGAGACAGAGCATGAATGGGGGAGGGTCAGAGAGAGAGGGAGACACAGAATCTGAAACAGGCTCCAGGCTCTGAGCTGTCAGCACAGAGCCTGACGCGGGGCTTGAACTCACGAACCGCGAGATCGTGACCTGAGCCGAAGTCGGACGCTTAACCGACTGAGCCACCCAGGCGCCCCATGACAGTTCTTTTTAAAGATGATTATTTTCAGGGGACCTGGGTGGCTCAGTTAGTTGAGCATCTGACTACTGACTTTGGCTCAGGTCGTGATCTCACGGTTCATGAGTTCAAGCCCTGCAGTGGGCTCTGTGCTGACAATGTGGAGCTTGCCTGGGATTCTTTCCTGCTGTCTCTGCCCCTCCTCCGCTCCTGCTCTGTCTCAAAATAAATAAATAAACTTTTTTTTTAAAGCGGCTTACCTTTTATTCTCCTTCATATTTTTAAGTCCCATCGTGTAATCTTCATTCAAACACGCAGTACAGTCAGAGATACCGAAGTGTTCTAATTTAGGAGTTACACACTCAAAATCATCCATCTTTAGGGCACATTTTGGAGTTTTTAGTACTTTAACTACGGACTGCTTGGAAGATGGAGTTACAATTCTGGGCTCTTCTTCATGGTCGTTTACTGCCTGTGGAGGGTTTGGTGGAACTTGGGATATCATGTACCGCTCCAGCCCAAAATCTGAAAGTTGGGGACTCCGTGGAGACTTCTCAGAACTAGCAGTGCTTGGAACAGCAGGATTGGACAGACTGTCCTTCACATCAGGCATTTGGACATTTTCATGCTTAGTGGACTCTGAGTCAGAGTCAGTGATTTCTTGTTCATCCGCTGTGAGGAAAAACCAAGGAGGTCATATTCTGGTCAAACATCAAACCACAAAATCCCAAGTACTAAAGCCACATAAAATAGCTCCATCTGAAATGTCCCCAATCAGCAAAAGTCCTGATTCCCTCCTTAGTCTCTAAAGTTTTATTTCAATTGTCCCTGTAGGAAATTTCTGACATGTACCTTTTGTCTACCCAGATCCCATTTTGATGACACATTAAAGAAGGAAAATAAACTAAAGTATTAAAAGATGAAAAATCAATGCAAATGAAAGTCCAATATCCTTACTCCCCCAGCTAATGTGATTTACCAATCTTTCTTAATGAATTCTGGAACTATTTTATCGTTTGATGACATTAACTACAGGGTGGAATTAACTATGATCTAGATTTAACACAAAGTATAACATTAGTTTAGATTATTCATTTACAGATGCCTAAGTTTAAAAGGAAAGATGGTCACACCAAGATAAGTTTTTATCCTTAGTCTGGAACGCCTGTATCAAAAGTCTGGTTGAGGAAAATAATAGGAGAGCATTAGAAAGATATGTCGTTTCTCAACCCTGAAAAGGTCACATCTGGCTCCAGACCCCATATGGTTAATCACCACACTGTACATTTCAAACTAAATAATTTACTAACAACTATGCTTTTCCCCCACAATCCTTTGCCATTTCCTGCATACATTAATGGTTAGTGAATTTGGTGTGGGACCCAAGTTGCAGTTAAAAGGTCCAGGATAGCACCTATGATGCCAAGGAACTGGAGAAGGAAAACCACTAGCTTTTAGCGTGAGAGACAACAGAAAGTCAAACAGGATAATCAGAAAGAAGATATGTGGATTTGGCCAGGATCTGGGCAGAGATAACTCAACAAATGACAGGGTTTCAGTGAGACAGCAAGGTATGGAGAATGGGATGGGTATTAGGAAAGCGCGGGACAAATGTAAAATGTGTAGCATGAAGTGGAGAAGAAAAATGAGCCAGTAATTAGGGTAACGAGAAAGGAAGAGAAAATGGAGGGGGTGAGCTGAAGGAAGAGAAATTAAAATGTGTTTAGCATCCCCCATGGGACAGGCATTTGAATGTTTCACTCCAATTAATTTTCATATTAACTATTTCAAGCACAAAATATCTTAGGATATTTTTTTGTTTGTATAAAGGCACCAAACAACATTTTGGAAAACAGCTGATACAATGTAAAGAGCCAAAACTTGACCTCACATCCTCTCATTCCAAACGCTACCATTTGTTTAAGAATAAGGAGGGAGGGAGTTACTACAAAGATCTGTTTTAGCCAACCTTGAATAGATATCATTTGGTTGCTAAATTAGAAATATGAATTGCAACAACTGTACTTGTTGAAGGAGATGGGAAAACGTTTCTCCCAAATACCTTGTTTGTTGTATTCTTTTTAAGAAGAAAGTACTTGTACTTTTGTTATGAATCGGAATGTATTTTTGTTAAGTCTGATAATGATCTTTTTTGTTTCTCTTCATCTTTTAAAGGAAAGCCTATAGTTAGAGTTAGATGGGGTCTATCAAACATTGGCATAGATCCCGGTCAGAATCTTTTGGGTCCAAAGGAACAGAAAAGGGATGAATTTAGGCTGTACATTTAGTTAGCTACCAAAAACTTATCCTTGTATTTATCACAAGGCTGTCGCCGATAAGATTAATAAAATCATTGTGATATCACTGCCTCACAGGGAGTTACCATCATCCCCATTTTGCAAGTGAGAAAAAAGCAATTCAGAGAAATTAGCCAAGGTCACACACCTGTAGCAACTGGTGGAGCCAGGATTTGAATCCATAGCTTGTTCACGCTAAAGTCAGCTGAATTCTTTCCATTGCACCACGCAGACTGTTTAATACACCCTCCGCACAGATCCCCAATATGTATTTGCTGAACGTAATTAATGGCTGATTTATGTACAAAGATCATTCTCGTAACGGAAACAAAGACACTGAAGTATGCTGAAATTAGTCCCTCACAGGTATGGGCCCCACGATAGTTAACACCAGGCGATTAACATGCCAGGTACTATTCTAGACAAACTTTATCTCATTCAATCCTTTCACAACCTCAAAGGTAAGTAGTATTAAACATCTCCACTCTATAGATGAGATTCTGAGGTACGAGGTTAAGTAAGTGGTCAAAGAGAATACAGCTAGTAAATGGTGGGATTAGAGATTTGCATTCAGATGGTCTGGCTCTACTTCTAAAACACCATGTTATCCTACCCTTCGTTAGAACTGTAAAACTTAAAAAAGGACTTTATCAGTTTATATTGCCCCAAATTTCTTGTTCTACGGAAGAAAAAACTGAGAACAAGAAAAATGAAATAGCACGCCTTACCTTCAGTCTCTCGGCTATTTTTGGCAGAGCTGACTAGAAACCAACCATCCTAAAATCATGTGGATCTATCTTGCAGTCTTCTTTAACGTTTACTTATTATTGAGAGACAGAGACACACAGAGCATGAGCAAGGGAGGGACGGAGACAGAGAGGGAGACACCGAATCCGAAGCAGGCTCCAGGCTCTGAGCCGTCCGCAGAGCCCGACGCGGGGCTCGAACCCACCGACCGTGAGATCGTGACCTGAGCCGAAGTGGGTCGCTTAACCGACCGAGCCACCCAGGCGCCCCTCTTGTACTCTTCTTTAATCTAGCATTTTGGAAAGGAGAGGAAGGGCTGTCTTTGCTTTGCCACCACCAGTCAGCACTGCATCCAGCACAGAGACTGATGAATAAATGACCACACATGACAAGTCACACAATGGCGGAGCCAGAACCGTAACCAGAGTAACCGTACTGAATCACGCTGCCTTCCTTCTTTAACACTAAAACAAACGCCATAAAATGCAAATCATTCACACCTGAGCTTTTCTTGGCACGCGGATTATATCCATACTTCTGGAAAAACTCAGTTATTTTCATGATATCCATTGAATTTTTTTTCATTAGTACTTTTGTTGCCTTTATGAAACCAATGCTTTCTTGACTTTCCGAACTTGCTTTATCAAGAAGAAGAATGACATCATCCTTTTATGAGGAAAAAAAGTACATTAGAATTTTTCTATCAAAAGACTTAGTCTTAAGACTAAAAGACTAAGTCTATTTAAAAATTACCACACAAAGATGATAAATTAATATTGCAGGACCCATACCTTTAGAGTCTGGACTTCAGAAAGAAGGTCACATAAAATTCTCACTGGATAATCTTCAATGTCTTCAATATGAATAGACAAAGGAAAAAATGCAATATGGAAAAAGTACAATAAGGAAAAGGAGGAAAAAGAATAGAAAATATAATTTAGTATTGTTTCTTATAATTATAAAATCCTTGTAGATATTTATCATTTGTTTCGTATCAATTACAAAGTATTACAGCCTTTGTTTTAAAACTTATTAAATTATCACATCCATACAAAAAAGTACAAAAATCATAAGTATATAGCTTGATGAACTTTCCAAGTGAACATACCTAAATAATTAGCACTCAGATCAAGGAGAGAAGGGAGGGAGGGAGGGGAGAAGGAGGAAATGTAATTCCACCTAGCAATTTTTTTTATAATGAGCACTTTTTGGTTCCTGTTTTTAAAATCTTTGCCAATGACAACACTTACGTTTTCTTCTAAAAGTTTTATTGTTCTGCCTTTTGCATTCAGAGCTACAATCCTCCTGGAATTGATTTTTTTTTTTTATATGGCATGAGGTAAGGATCAAGATCCATTCTTATTTTCCATTTCCACTCTTATTTCCAGGTCCAACTGACCTGGCACCATTTATCGAAAGGACATCCTTCATCCACTGTACTGTCACCTTTCTTACTAATCGGTTGCGATATATAGACTATACATCATGTAAAAGCAGTTTTTTAAAGAATTATATTTCTCTTTCTAAAACATGCCTCCTTTGAAGATCTCCTTTCACCTGTTAAAGCTGACCAATTTTTATTTGGGAAACTCAAGTCAACGTGACAGTGATACTTCATACCTACTAGAAGGGCTATATTCAAAAGACAGGTAATAATAAATGATGAGGATGTGGAGAAACCGCAACCTTCATTCGTTGCTGGCAGAAATGTACAATGGTGCATCCACTTTAGAAAACAATGTGGCAGCTCTTCAAAAAGTTAAACATAGGTTTACCATATGGCCCAGCAATTCTAAGTGTATACCAAAGAGACCCGAAAGCATAATGTTCACCGGAAATGTTTACATATATTCATAATATCTAAAAAGTGGAAACAACCCAAATGTTCATCAACTGATGAATAAACACAATGTGGCGTATCCATACATTGGAATATTATTCAGAAATATAACGGAATGAATCACTGATACATGTGACATGGATGAACCTTGCAACATGAGGCTAAAATAAGTCAGTCACAAAAGCCTACTTTTGTATGATTCCTTTTATATGAAATACCCAGAATATACAAATATATACAGGCAGAAAGCAGATTAGCAGTTGCATAAGGCTAGGGTAGTTGGGGATGGGATCATGGGGAGTGGATATTAACAGTCACAGGGTTTCTTTTGAGGATGATGAAAATCTAAACTTACTGTAATGGTTGCACAACTCTGTGAATACACTAAAAACCATTGGACTGTATCCTTTAAGTGCTGAATTTTATATTATGTGAATTATATCTCAATAAAGAAGTTTAAAAAGTCAATCAATTTAATGATTCATAAAAGCTGAAATTTTTTGGTGATCATTTTCTCTATCACATTTCCGTATATATTTTTTTTAATTTTTAAATGTTTTTATTAATTTTTGAGAGAGACAAAGAGCACGAGCAGGGGAGGGGCAGAGAGAGAGAGGGAGACCCAGAATCTGAAGCACTCCAGGCTCTGAGCTGTCAACACAGAGCCGGACCAGGGGCTCGAACCCACAAACTGTGACATCATGACCTGAGCTGAAGTTGGACGCTTAAATGACTGAGCCACCCAGGTGCCCCAATACCATATTTTCTGTAATACATATTGGCCACAAACAGAAAAATCATCCCAACTTTTTCTTATAAAACCAGAAGAAAGTGCAAAATTTGCGTACACAGTTAATATGCTGGTAAGAAGGTAAATTAGCACAAGAACCCAAAGTGGCACCTAGCTGGCTCAGTCTGTACAGCATGAGACTCTTGATCTGTGGGTCATGAATTCAAGCCCCACAATTAGCTGTAGAGCTTACATTAAATAATGTAACAAAAATAATGTAACAAAAATAATAAAATATTAATAGTGGTGTCTTTGGATGGCTGAGTTACAGAAAATATTTATTTTCCTCTTTCTACTTTTCATTTCTCAAATTTTTTGTCATGTACGTATATTGTTCTTACAGTCAAAATAAACATTTTTAAATGGCTGGAACACTATTCATAACATAACAAAAGTAAAAGGAGTCTGTGTCTACAGAGCACGATGTTTTAAGGCAAATTACATTTATGACATTTATAAAATAATCTCAAAACCTGAGCTACTCTTGCAATATTTTGAAAAATTTTTGTTTTATTTTTTATTTTTTTGAGAGAGAGAGAGAGAGAGAGAGCGAGAGCGAGCATGAGCAGGGAAGAGCAGAGAGAGAGAGACACACACAGAATCCGAAACAGGGTCCAGGCTCTGAGCTGTCGGCACAGAGCCCGACGCAGGGCCGGAACCCACGAACCGTGCGACCTGAACTGAAGTCGGACGCTCAACCCACGGGGCCACGCAGGGGCCCCGCAACAATTTTTTTAAATGTCTAATACAAAGGTTAGTGGTGAAGAATTCTGCTATATTAATTTTCTTTTTAAGCAGTATTGATGGGTGCCTGGCTGGCTCAATCACAAGGTCATGTGACTCTCAATCCCCAGGTCTTGAGTTTGAGCCCTGTGCTGGGTGTCGGGGTTTCCAAAAAAGGAAAGAAAAAAAAAAAAAAAAAAAAAAAAAAAAAAAAAAAAAAAAAAAAGGTACTCACTAGTATTGACGGGTTGCTGGGGAAAATACAGGCATTTACTGCAACTGTGGGCCATTTGGGTGAGACAAAGTCTACAAGCAAAGAACCGTGCTAAATAACTGCATTTTGTTTAATTACACAGTATTTTTATTAATATCCATTATGTGACTTCAAGTATATCATGTATAAATTAGTGTGCGCATTATGAGCTCAGTCTGCCAACTTAATTTACACTTTTATTCTATGCTGTTTCTCCTCCTAACACAGTGACAGTGCTATTTCAATATTTGCGGAGAGCAAATGTGGTTGGACACAGAACTGAAAACAGCCACAACAACATACTTGAGGGGGCAGAAGAATAAATAATAAAAAGGTGACACCTGCAGCCCCTCGGGGCCCTGCTGACGACAAACGTCGAGCGTTTTGATGGGTGTGCCACCGCCCTTCCACATCTCTTTCGAGGCACCCCTCGCCACTGTAGCTAAGATAACACACTCTCGGCCGAGTGTGTGCGTTTGTACTTGTGAAGGCCCTTCCGACCCGCCGCACTCGGGGCGGGCTGCGGGCGCCCGGGCGGGTCGCAGGAGCCGCGAAGGCCCCGACGCCCGACGCCTCACTCACCGCTCTCCTCTCCGTCCAGCGCTCGCTGCAGCCGGGCCGTCTCGCTGTCGAGGGTGATGGCCAGAGACCGTAGCTTCGCGTGGAAGCTTCGGATCAAATCCATGGATAAGGACTGCTCGGCAGGACGCAGGACGCGAGCAGATTCCCACCGCTCCGGTCCGGCGCGCCACTAATTTGAATCTCCTGGCGCCGGAAGTGTCCCGCCTCCGCGGGGGGTCGCACGAGCCCTCTCTCGCGAGAGCTGAAGTCTCGCGCGAAGCGGCAAGGAGGTTCCGGGAGGCGGACGCGCTTCCGGGGTCGCGTCCGCTGGCGCGCGGGGGAATTTGTGAACTACGCGGCCGGTGAGTTGATGACCGTATTTTCTTGCTTCAGGAGTCCCTTTCTTTCCCTAGGGAGTCTAGTTGGGCTCCCTGCTTCTTTGGGGGCACGCTGTGCGTCCTCGGGGGTGGCGGAGCGGCAGGAGAGCCGGGGTCGCGCGCGTGCGCTGCTGTCACCTGCGGCCGAGGGCGTAGCCAGTTCCTGGTGCGACTTTCCCCGTATCCCCGCAGGTACCATGTTCGTGACCGCCCTCCTCCTCCGCAATCGCATTCCTGGCAGCCAGTGGATCGGGAAGCACCGGCGGCCGCGCGCCGTGTCTTTCCACGCGAAGCAGAACATGATCCGTCGCCTGGAGATAGAGGCGGAGAACCATTACTGGCTGAGCATGCCCTACCTCACCGCGGAGCAGGAGTACGGCCACGCCGCGGGGCGCCGGGCGGCGGCCTTCGAGGCCATCAAGGCGGCCAGCGTGTCCAAGTTCCCCCCCCACAGATTTGTGGTAGACCAGCTCGACCATCTCAATGTCACCAAGAAGTGGTCCTAACCCAGCGCCACCGCCTTTCAGCTGGACGGATCGCGGGGCTGCCATCTCTGTGACCCGATTCTGGAACTGAAAAGCTAACCTCTAGAGAGAAAATGAACCTTTGGACCGGAGTCTTAATGGACAGCAAAGAGGAACGTAGTGGTCTGCATGTAGAATATCTGGGGCTCCAAATTCTTTAATACTTGAGAGTCTGATCTCTGTCGCATTGTTTCCTTTTTCTTTATCCTCATAGGAAGATACAGGAGATTTCCTGGGTCACAGAGGATATGAAATGTATTTTGGATGGAAGCTTCAAAAAAAAAAAAACTGAGCTATGGTTTGGAATCTGTGCCTCAGTATGAAGATAGTTGATGGGGGCTTTATAAAATATAAATTAGTTTGCTTACCTTCTGTGGAAACATCGCCTAAACATAAATGAAAAAGTGAAATAAATGAAAATGAAACTCTGAAAAAGTTCAGTTGAACATACTCCTAAAAACAGCGTTTTCTTCTGGGATGCTGCCGAAAGTAGACATTTAAATTTTTTTTTTTTTTAATGTTTATTTATTTTTGAGAGACTGAGTGTGAGCAGGGAAGGGGCAGAGAGAAGGGGAGACAGAATCCAAAGCAGGTGCCAGGTTCTGAGCTGTCGGCATAGAGCCCGACAGGGGGCTTGAACTCACGAGATCATGACCTGAGTCAAAGTCAGTCGCTTAACCGGTGGAGCCACTCAGGTGCCCCTGAAAGTAGACGTTTAGATAAAGTAAAAGGTATTCATCAGAACTGCTACGTGTGTTGTATTTTAACAACTTATTTCTGGGATATAATTGACATTACAGGCCACCAGTTGAAGAGGTTTGTCTTTTCGAATTCCCTTTTTCAGTATATAATACTGTATTCTACTGTATAATACCCTTTACATGTATTACTAAATTGTATGATATACGATATTACGAATCGTATGCTATAAAGGGCTTGACTGTTGTATACCCTGTATATTTTACATGTGAAGAAAACTCGTCCAAAATCCGTTCCCAGTAATGAATGTGACTTGGGTTTCAATTTCTGTATGATCTAGATATCTCAACTGCTGTCTTTATATTTGACAACATTTTCAAAATACGGAAGAAAAAGAATTCAGTCCCATTACCCAGAGATGAAATAATCATCTTTTATATATATTTTTCTTGTAGTCTTTATATGCTTTTTGAACATATACTGAATCTATAGGGGTAAATAGAATCTTGAGTTAAAAACAAACATTTAAAGGTTATGATGCATATTGCCAATGGCTTTCCAGAAAAATTGTAAAACAGCAAGACCAATGTATGAGTGTGAATCTCATTTGCTAGCGTTGACGGTTTTGTTCATTAATGAATTATTCATGGTTCACCTTTAATTATCTGCCGTTGGGATGTGTAGGCTGTGGTGCAGACATTATTATTACTTTTTTGATTCATTGCACCTAAAAAACGTGATAGTTGAATATTTAACCAAGCTGAACTCTGTTATTGATAGGTCATATTCTGTGGTGTATACTTATTGAATGCTTTTTATAGCTCACAAAAATGTCTCTGGTTCCTATGAGCAAGTTAATATCTGTGACCATTTCTTTTCATTCCTGGAAATGGTGACAGCCGATGCTGTTTAGGAGAAAGGTGAAGGAAGGGGGCTCAGGGGAACCTTAGAACTGTAACTATTTCACATAAAATCGTTAACTAAGCGCCTGGGCAGTTAAGCGTCTGGCTCTTGATTTCAGCTCAGGTCGTGATCTAACGGTTCCTGAGATTGAGCCCCACATCAGGCTTCGTGCTGAACAGCACAGAGCCTGCTTGGGATTCTCTCTCCCCCTCTCTTTCTGCCCCTCTCCCTCTCGCAGACACTCTGTCTCTCAAAAAAAAAAAAAAAAAAAAAAAAAAAAAAAAAAAACAACCTACTTCTGTTGCTTCGATCTCTGTGTAACTCAGAAACTTTGGAGTTTGAAAAAGGAATGGTTAAGGTGAATCTCAGAGAAGGAAAAAGATGCTAGAATCTTGGGTCTGAAGAAATAGAAGGCAGTTCATGAGAGGAGAGATTTTTATGTATAATCATTGCAGTTGTAAAACAGTCTCGTGAAGTAGTCGTCTCCACTGTACAGGTTAGAAACTGAAGCTCAAATGTCAGCAACACACTCACGTTCACACGGCTAACACGGTAAAACTAGAATTCAGGACTAGGTTTATCTAAAGATCATATGCATTTTAATACAGTACACTAACTGCTGTAAATACAAGGTCACAGCTGTGTTTTAATCACTTCTTGGCCAAAGCAATGCTGTTGAAACATCTGATTTTTTTTCCCGCGAGTCTACAACTGTTAACACCATAGCCATCCTAGAGTTCATCTTTTCTTAACAACAGAGCTCATTGCCCTCAGCTGATTATAGTTACATGCCTAATTGAGTAGATCTGTGCCAGCTGTGCCTTCTGAACAGTAGCTGGCTTAGAGCTCCTAGGGCTCTGTGTCATCCGGTTGTTCACCTTGTGAATATCAACCTCAAGGAGCTCACTGTCTCACCGGATGAAACGCACCGCATAAGTAATATGGCGTGATGACTGACTTCATGGACACAAGGTGTAATAAGAGTCCAGCGAAAGGGCCATTTATCAACCTTCCCTGAACAGTCAGGAAAAACTTGAGACGATCTTCGAACGGATTCTTAATTTGCCTGGCAAGCGTGTGGCAGGAAGTAGAGGCAAAAGTAACAGTCTAATGATTAGTCATAGACTTGCCAGTGGTTGCAATGTAGGCTACTTGTGAGTGGGGGAGGAGAAGTGAACGACAGGCTAAGGATGTAAGCAGGACCAGAATATGAAAGTTCCTGTATGACACTTTAAGAAGTTTGGCTTTTATCCTGTAAGTAGTGGGGAGCCATCAAAAATGCTTAATTCGTTAAATAATGGGGAGCATTGTGGACAATGGGTTAGTGGAAGAAATGACTAGGAATAGAAAAACCTGGTAGCTATTAAAATAATCCAGCTAAGCACTGAATTTGGATGGCGGAGGTGGAAAGTGGTTAAAAGAATTAACAAGTCTGCGAACATTTGTATTACTCCTAATACCTTGGATCCCTATATGGAGGGTACTTTATAATTTAATTAGGGTAATTAAAATTTGTTTTAATGTTGGGGCACCTGGGTGGCTCAGTCAGTTAAGTGTCCGACTTTGGCTCAGGTCATGATCTCACCGTCTGTGGGTTTGAGCCCCGCGTTGGGCTCTTTGCTGACAGCCTAGAGCCTGCTTCGGGTTCTGTGTCTCCCTCTCTCTCTGCCCCTCCACTGCTTGCACTCTATCTCTCTCGAAAATAAACATTTTCTTAAAAATAATAATTAGAAAAAGTCTGAAAAAATTGTACAATACCAGTACAGTGAAAACTATAAAGTGTTTGAGGAAAGTCAAAGAAATCCTAAAGAAATGGAGATATTCTGTGCACATTAGTCAGAGGTCATAAGGTAACTATGGCAATTTTACCAAAAGTAATCTATAGTTTCAATGTAATCCCATTTTATGTCCCAATAGGTTTTTTTCTTATTTTGTAGAAATTGACTAGCTAATTCTAAAATTCATGAAAATTCAGAGGACCTAGAATAGCAAAAACAATTTTGAAATACAGAAAGTTGGAGGATTTAATACTACCTGATTTCAAGACTTAATGTAGAGCTTCAGTAATTAAGAGAGTGTGGTGTTGACATAAAGACAGACAAATAAAATGGAAAGTTCATAAATAGGCCACACGTATGTAATTTATTAATTTTTAACAGATACACACAGGAAATGCAGTGAAGAAAGGGTAATCTTTTCTCAAACCTGGTGCTGGAACAAATGAGTATTCATATGCAAAAGATGACCTCAGTCTGTGTCTAATGCTATATACAAAAATTACTTCAGGAGCACCTGGCTGGCTCCGTCGGTTAAGCATCTGACTTCGGCTCAGGTCGTGATCTCACCATTTGTGAGTTCGAGCCCCACGATGGGCTCCGTGCTGACAGCTCAGAGCCTGGGGCCTGCTTCAGATTATGTGTCTCCTTCTCTCTCTGCCCCCTCCCCCCGTTTGTTCTCTCTCTCTCTCAAAAGTAAATAAAAACATTAAAAAAAAATTTTAAGGGACGCCTGGGTGGCTCAGTTCGTTGAGCGTCCGACTTCGACTCAGGTCATGATCTCACGGCTAGTGAGTTCAAGCCCCGCGTCGGGCTCTGTGCTGACAGCTCAGAGCCTGGAGCCTGCTTCATATTCTGGGTCGGTCTCTCTCTCTCTCTCTCTCTCTCTCTCTCTCTCTCTCTCTGCCCCTCCCCTGCTCATGCTGTCTCTGTCTCTCAAAAACAAACACTAAAAAAAAATTTTTTTTTAATTAAAAAAAAAATTACCTCAAAACGGATCATGGATTAAATCTAAAACCTAAAACTTGTATAAAACTTCCCATAGGAAACATAGGGAGAAACTCTTTGTGACCTTGGGTTAGGCAAAGATTTCTTAAAAATGTATGAAGTCATGCTTTATAAAACCCCAATCTGATGAATCAGAATTCATCAAAATGAAGAAATTCTGTTCTTTGAAAGACATTCTGCTAAAAGAATGAAAAAAAAAAAAAAAGCCAAAGACTGGAAGAAGAATACCTGATAAAGGACTTATATCCAGAATATATAAATCATTCTTAAAATTCAGTAACAGGAAAATAATTTTTTTGAATGGACAAAATATTTGGACAGATGCTTCATCAAAGAAAACAAATGGACTGCAAAAAAACCCATGAGCAAATGCTCAGTATTATTAGTCATTTGGGAAATGCAAATTAAAACCACCATGAGATACCACTATATATCCATTAGAATGTATAAAATTTAAAAGACTGACAATACCAAGTGTCATCAAGGATACAGAGTACCTAGAACACTTATATACTGATAAGAATATAAAATGGTGCAACCACTTTGGAAACAGCTTGGAAATTCCTTTAAAAGTTAAACATAACAATTATCATATGACTCAGCCACTCTACTTCTGGGTACTTACTTAAGATTGATGAAAGCATGTGTCCATAGAAAGACCTAAATGTTCATATCAACCTTTAATAAAAAAGTAGAAACAAGTCACTTTCATCTGATGAATGGATAAACATTTGTTGTACATCCTTGTACAAATGTACACAAATGAATGATCTGATAAACACAATCAGACCTGAGTGAATCTCAAAATAATTATGCTGATTGAGAAAAGCCCCATGACCCCATAAAATACATTCCATTTGTATGAAATTCTAGGAAATGCAAGCTAAGCCATAGTGATGGACC